GATCGGCAAGCCCAAGAGGCTCGGTGCTTTAGACTACAACACCAGTCACATCCACACTATCCAATGCGAGTACTGCTCAGAGTAGAGTCACACATCAATAGACACAGGTCCGTTGAACTTAACAGGTCTGTTCCAAGTAGGACGAACATTGGTTTTTCCAACTGCACAAATATGCGATTTGGTATGGCATTTTTTTCAGTTGGAACTCGCCGGAACTGTTCATGCACCTCTCAGGTGGGCGTCATTGTAAGAGTACAAGGGAGGTGTTCAAGGTGAATTCCGGCATCTTTCTCTAGAAAAACAGCACTGGGTACAGTCTTTGTCTATGTGTTTTTTCAGTGTGTGCCAATTCAATCGGAGGGTTCGGCATCCACTAAAGAAAACAGATTCCTACTATAGGGCTCCCAAACCCTTAGTTATATTCTTTAGGTAATTTGATGGTGCCTGTTATCAAAGACCACATTATCAAGGTGTACTGTGTGCCCAATTCTGATACGGTTTGTTATCAAGAGCGAAATTAGTATTAAGTCATGAGGGTTGACTATGCCATTTGCCTCTGCACCACTGGCAAAGTCCGTTCCCGGTTTCACCGGTTAATCATTTGTGCTCGGCTACTAGCAAGGAACAAGTACATTGTCTTTCGGTCGCAACAACCCCGGGTCACAGTCCGAGATGATTCCGTCGCTCTTTTCTCCACTTGGCTCAGATTCCTACGTTAAAACCTGTGTGCGCGCGAATGAGTCCTAGCTCCGCTCGTTCTTTCTCAAGAGGGCACAGAGTCTTGTCTTTCTCTCCTCAGGATCCTTGGCAAATCGGAGGCCACCCTAAACGTATCGTTTGAAACATTGTCTGCACTTTTAAGGGACGCGGGTGGCGCTGTGGGTTAAACCACAGAGCCTAGGACTTGCCAATCAGAAGGTCGGTGGTTCAAATCCCCGCGACGGGGTGAGCTCCCGTTGCTCGGTCCCTGCTCCTGCCAACCTAGCAGTTCGAAAGCACGTCAAAGTGCAAATAGATAAATAGGTACCGCTCTGGCGGGAAGGTAAACGGCATTTCCGTGTGCTGCTCTGGTTTGCCAGAAGTTGCTTAGTCATGCTGGTCACATGACCCGGAAAGCTGTACGCCGGCTCCGTCGGCTAATAAGCAAGATGACCACCGCAACCCCAGAGTCGTCCGCGACTGGACCTAATGGTCAGCGGTCCCTTTACCTTTACCTGCACTTTTAGAAAGGAAATGCCGGCAGCAATGTTTTGAGAGGCAGGTACGGTCTGGAGGAGAAGACAGATTCATGGGAGTAAAATTCTACCAGCTGCAACAAACCCTGATGGCTAGGCACAATATCTGCTGTCCAGAGGCAGTTTGCTTCTAGAAACCAGTTGCTGCAAACCGCAGCTGGGGAGAGTGCTTTCGTGATCACATCCTGCACCTGGTTGGCCATTGTGAGAAAAGGAAGCTGGCCTAGATGGACCACTGATCTGATCCAACAAGCTACGATGGTGATGGTATTCTTCAGAGAACATAGAGAAGAGATTTAATCCCGTATTTCCCTCTGCACGCTGCAGCAGTCTAATTCCCCTCTCATGTGCATATTAATTATTATTATTAAAAATACAGTCAAGTTTTCTAATGATGAGAACAGCTCCATACCCATTTGGCTCTCAACTAATCCATATTTCTGTTTCTTTCACTTTGCCATTATTATTATTATTATACCACCCTATACCCACAGGTCTCAGGAGGTTCGCAGGATAAAATCGCAACATGGAAACACGAAATACGCAATCAAAACAAAAACAAGCCAATAAGCACACACACCCCAAACACATTATAAAACGGGCATAGAATGCACTACGGAATGTCCCTGTTGTTGTGATATCCAGCGTTGCAAATAATGCTTTTTTAAAAACACCCTAGCCCATAAAAGCACTTTTACTATTCCACTGCCCACGAACAACAATATAAAGGCACATCTAGCAACCTGGAAGGTATGGGGGAGGGGAACTTTTTTGTTTTTTCCACTCAGTTTACAATAACTTTTCTATTTGCTTGCCTGGAGCTAACTGAGCACATGGCTTCATGCAAGCTTGCTTATGACAGATGGCACAATCGGCGCATGGGTTTTGCATCAGCTGAAGTCGTGCCTCTTCACCCGGGCCTTTGGGGTGGCTGCTGTGCCATGGCTGCAGCCGAGGACTTCCCATCTGCTATATGATTTGGCTGGTTTAAATTTGATACAATGCTATCAGCATTGTATAAAATGCTGCTAGCTAATGCTATCAGCAAGTTTGGGAAATCACTGGGAAGAATAACCTTAACCCATATGGAGCCATACGGCACACAAAAATATACTAATGCCACCAATTGTCTCTTGTTTGGGGACATAGAGAATGAAAAGGGACACAGGTGGCGCTGTGGTCTAAACCACTGAGCCTCTTGGGCTTGCCTATCAGGAGGTCAGCAGCTCAAATCTCCGTGATGGGGTGAGCTCCCGTTGCTCGGTCCCAGCTCCTGCCAACCTAGCAGTTCAAAAGCACACCAGTGCAAGTAGATAAATAGGTACCACTGCGACGGGAAGGTAAACGGCGTCCGTGCGCTCTGGTTTCCGTCATGGTGTTCCGTTGCACCAGAAGCGGTATAGTCATGCTGGCCACATGACCCAGAAAGCTGTCTGTGGATAGTTCTGAATAGAACCAGGGCAAACTGAAGGAGAGATGCGCCGCCCTGGAGAAATAGCCCATCCGCCCCACAATGAAGACTTCTCTCTCTCCCGCCAACCTCTCGAGCCTTAAATCACAACATTGCATACGGGTTGATAAACAGCGCGTGGATGTGCGCGGGCAATACATTCCTGGCGCTTGGGCATTGCACCATGACAAAGTGGTTTAACATACAATTATTTCTTAGGGCTTTTGTTTCGTTTTTTAAATCTCCCATCAAAAACCTAGGTGCAATGTAGCTTAGCTGCTACTATCCCATAAACTGCAATGTATACCTGCAAAACCAGCTTCTTACTTAAGGTCCTTACTTCAGTAGGGCCCCACATTCTATACAGCGGACACTTGGGTTGCGAACATGATCCGTGGGGGAGGCACGTTCGTAACCCGCAGCGTTCGCAACCCGCAGCGCCACGTCTGCGCTTGCGCAGGTTGCGACTCGGCCCTTCTGTGCAAAGCGCAATTTAGTGTTTTGCGCATGCGCTGAAACCCGGAAGTAACCTTTTCTGGTACTTCCGGGTTTCAGCGCAGTGTGCAACCTGAAAACGCGCAACCTGAAGCGTTTGTAACCCGAGGTATGACTGTACTTAATATAACAAAATAACCATCCCTTAAGACTCCTTCCTCTTCTTTGCAAGGGAACTACTGGGTTCTGCCAGTCCAACTCTCCAAATGTCTTGCTGAAGCAGGCTGCAGAAGCATTCTGCATAAAAACTGGAGGGTTTGCCCCCGACTTTTGTCCCCAGTGCTTTAGAAATTAAACCGGAATGTGTAAACTGCTTTTCCAAACGCGTGAGCCTTGGCAGCTCAAGATATATAATACGTAGCCATGTGGCTTTCCTTTGGCCCGTCGGGAGGCGGACGAGCCTTTCCTTGTAGCCTTGGCGCCCCCTGTGGAAGAGGAAGGAAAGTGCACGGGCTCTGCCCCAGACGTCAATGAGACGCCTATTAAGGACAAGCAAGAATTCAAACGTGAGACGCTGCGGCGCGTGCATGTTTCTAGCTATCTCTGAGACTCTTTGTGGGTGGGTGGCTCCGGGTACAGTTTCAGCGGCGGGCGCTGCCAGGCAAAATAACCGTGCTTTTTAAACAGTTGGTATATTTCGGTCCCAAATCTGCTCGGGCAGGGAACGTGCCAGGCGCTCCCCCCCCCGTCTAAAAATGCAAGCGCAGATATAATCTGCAGAATTTAATACGGTGCTGGCAATGAGAGCGCTGCAGCTTGAAGCATTCAAGTCGCTATCAATGCACAAGAGCTGCTTTTTTTTTAAGCTCTCAAACAAGGTTGCATCTTTTTTTTTCTTTTCCTGGGGAGCTGGTGTGTGCAACATCAGACAGGCAGCTCCATTTTGGCACATGTTGCAAACCTTCGCAAATTGGGGGGGGGGGGTCTTCTGAATAGAACGGGGGCAAACTGAGAGATGCACCGCCCTGGAGAAAAAGCACGGCCGCCCCACGCTGCAGACTTCTCTCTCCCCCACCCCTCAGCCTTAAATCACAACATTGCTTACGGGTTGCAAAACAGCGCGCGCATGTGCGCGGGCAATAACATTCCTGGCGCTTTGGGCATCGCACCACGATGCGCCTGGCTGCAAGTTCCCTAGGCGGGGAGATGCGCGCTCCGAGTGCAATGCATCTCTCTCTAAGGTGCGACTGTAGCCTGGCAGGAGTCAAGTGCTGCGGCAGCAAGGCTCGCGATCCGTGGAAGGGAGCTGCTAAATGGCGCGGGTTGCTTTTTGGGGGGAGGAGGGGTGGAAGTTGGGGTTGCAAATTGCAATGCACAAAGCAGCACTAATAATAATAATAGTAATAATAATAATAATGCAAAGGACCCAGCCCACTGCGCGTTATCCCAGCCTGGTGATGATGGCGGCTGGCTGTCGCCCCCCCCCCCATGCCCGCCTGGCCCCCCCAACCCCGCCCCGCTGCAGACGCAGCGTCTCTAACCCGCGGAGAATGACCTTCCCCATCGCCGCCCGAGAAAAGGCGCGCCGAGGAATTCCCGCCCTTGCGCTCGTCAGCCGCCCTCTTCCCGCTCATGCATATGCAAATCCGGCTCCCCTCCACTGGCTGCGGCGAGAAAAACCGCCCTTCTCATTGGGCGCCGCGCTCCAGCGCATGCAGATGAGATGAGAACCTTCCCTTTTTCTCGCCCTCGCCCCGCCTCCGGTGATGAGAATTTTTCAGACGGTGTAACCTTGCGCGTCTCTCTTACTATCAGCAAATAGTTCCGGGGAGCACCGGGGGCGGCGGCCGCCCCGAAAGCCGCAGCGGACCCAGCTCGCCGAGAAAAAGAGAGAGAGAGAAGCCAGCCGCAACCCCCCACCCCACCTCTCGGATCTACTCCTAGCGGCGGAGATCTGGGGTTAGAGGGTGGGGGCGGGGGAGGACACCGCGCGTCCCTACCGCCAGCCAGTTCCCCCGCGGAGGGATATTACCGTAATGTGCGGGTGCGCAGCGAAATATCGAGAGTTAAGAAGAGGCGGCGCCGCGGACCGAAGGATTCAGAACAGGCGAGCGCTGCCGGGAAGAGGTTGAGTTGCTGCTTCTGCTGCTTCGGATCTGCGCGCCTCCCTTGCGGCGCTGGATTGACTTCGGAGCCGCGCGGGCTCCAGCCGAGTGGATTTTCGTCTCGCGTGGGATCCTTTTTTCCCCCCACCCCCCAAAAACCAACAACAATTCGTGGCTCCTGGACCAAGCAACAGAGATCATTGTTTTTCCTTCTATATTTATAATAAATATATACATATATAGGGTTTTTTTGTTCCTTTTCTCCTCCTCCGTTTTCGTCTGGGATTCTCTGCTCGTCTCCGGGAACCAATATATTTTTGGAGAGGGTGTTTTCTTCCATCAGAGAGGGGGGGAAAAGAGATCTGCAAGATCCCCCACCACCCTCGACAGCTGCTTACAAGTCGCGATCTCCGTCTCGGGAGAGCCTCCCTCGCTGGCCTTTCTCAACTGCGCTCATCAGCTGTTTTTTGGGGGGAAGGGGGTGCTGTTCATCGTCCTCCCCCCTTTTTTCCCTCCCCTCCTCCGTTTTCTGCCCATTGACTTTTGACAACCTCGAGGGGAGCGGGGGGGCGTCGGATCTCCGCATCGCGGTGGTGGTTCCCCCCTTTTTTTCCTGCCCCCACCCCACCCTTCCAGCCGTTCCCCCCCTTTTTTTGGAAGATGTTACTCTCCAAGTTCGGATCCCTCGCTCATCTCTGCAACCCAACCAGCATGGACCACTTGCCCGTCAAGATCCTCCAACCAGGTAAACAACCCGTGACATTTGCTTCTCTCCCTTTTTCCCGGGGGGGGGGGTCGGTTTTATTTTTATTTTTTCTTCTGCGCGGGAAGAGAGAGAGAGAAATGTATGTGCTCTGTAAGCCTTCTGCGTCGCTGGGGCTGCGGCAGCTTTTCTGACCAGGATCTCGGCAGTGGGGCTAGATTTTCAGCTGTTTTGCGGGTGTAGAAACGTTCTCGCGGCTGGGTTTTATGTGGTTTTTATTTCACCCCACCCCACGTCGGGGGATTGGGTTGGGGGCATCCTTACCTATCAACATGGCTGGGAGCGGTGGCGTTTGGGGATAATTCCTCCCGAGAATGCGAGAGGCGAAGGACACGTGAAACCCCTTCCCCACGTCAAACGGGCTTGTTTGCAACTGGCTTTCCTCCCTGCTGGAGTTTGTGGTTTGGGTGATTTCCACTTGCGACCTTTCCGTGGGTGGCTCTTGTTTCGAGGACGGTTTCGGTGTGTTGTGTGTGTGTGTTTTTTCTCCCTGGAGTGAGATGGCTCCCCTTCTCCCTAAGGTGCGCTCGGTGATACATCTAGACGTTGTCGCCCCCTTTCTAACCCCCCTTCTTGTTTCCTTCCCGCCTTTTAGTGAAAGTGGAGAAGGAGCCGTTCGATAAGATCTATCAAGTGGGCTCCGTCTTGGGCAGCGGGGGATTTGGCACCGTCTATGCCGGGAACCGCATCTCCGATGGCTTGCCGGTAAGACGAGACTCCCGACCACGAGGCTTTTGTTGCTGCTTCCACCCCCGCAGCCCCCCCTCCCACCGTGCGTGGCTGGAAATCCCGGCCACGGCCCCCCCCAGAGCGAGGCGATGTCCCGTGCCACCCGACCGCCCCCCTAACCCCCTCTTTTTCTCCTCGCCCCCAGGTTGCCGTCAAACACGTCGTGAGGGAGAGGGTGACGGAATGGGGCACGATTGTAAGTATCCCGAATCACAAAAAAAAACCTTGTGCTATCCCTTGCTCTGCTTTCCCCCCCCCTCTGCCCCCCTCAACTGCATTTATCATGGAGGGCTAGCTATTGTTTTGTGGGGGTCCCCTTTCCCCTCCCTCCAGGCTGCTGCTGCCGCCGCCACCATCTCCTCCTCTCCGGCCTCTGTTATTGTTTACGTTTTTTTCCGGGGAGGGGGGAGATTTGGCGGGGTTTCTCCTCTTCCTCCCGCCCTCCCCTTTTGACTGCGGCAGGAGAGAGAGCAGTCTTTGGGCTTCCCCTTCGCTCCAGCCTCCCTGCTCTGCTGGAGTTTCCATTTGCAGGAAGCCCCGCGATTGGTTTTTTCAGATGGCCAAGAAAGGGGGGGTTTCCCTTCCTTCCCCGCCTCCCCGTCTTGATATTCCGAAAGCTTCATCATGTCTTCCTTTTTTCCCCCTCTCTCCCTCTTCCCTCCTCCTGCCGCTGCTTTCAGGGTGGAGTTATGGTACCCTTAGAGATCGTTCTGCTCAAGAAAGTGGGGTCCGGGTTCCGCGGGGTCATCAAGCTACTGGACTGGTACGAGAGGCCCGACGGCTATTTGATCATCATGGAACGGCCCGAATTGGTGAAGGACCTCTTTGACTTCATCACCGAGAAGGGAGCCCTGGACGAGGAGACGGCCAGGGGCTTCTTCCGACAGGTCCTGGAGGCCGTTCGCCATTGCTACAGCTGCGGCGTGGTCCACAGAGACATCAAGGATGAGAACCTCTTGGTGGATCTGAGGACAGGGGAGCTGAAGCTCATCGATTTCGGCTCCGGAGCCCTCCTCAAGGACACCGTCTACACGGATTTCGATGGTAGGCTCCCCCTCCCAACCAGAACCTCTCAATCTCTCTCAATTTCCTTCTCTCTCCCTCCTCTCTCTTAGTCACATTTTTGCCACCTACCACCAACGAGATATTTCTGCTGTAGCAGCCAGTAACAGATCTGGCAATTAAATCCTTCGCTCCAGTGGCGGCTTGTGGGGGGGCGTCGAGTTGCGTAGGAAGAGAAGCGATTCCAGGCTGTGACGCACCACTTTATATATAATTATATTTTTCCCTGCCTTCGGAAGGATAAAAAAGGCATTTTCCTAGAGGGCGGCGTGTTTACGGTTGACTCAGGTGTTGCCTCTGCCAACCTTTCCATCTGTGACCCTCTTGGGTTTATATATCCCCCCCCCCTTCCAAACCCACCCACCCTTCCCCATTCCTCTTTCCCAGACGATGCTTTAGAAAAACCCTGCATTGCAGATTTGAGGAGGAGAGAGGGAGTTATCCCTCCCTTCTTTCAAGTTAAAAGGAGACCGGGCTTCTCAAACTTACTGTTGCTGTTTTTCCCTTATGGGTGGGGAAAGGGGTTTTGTTTTTTCCCCTCCTCCCTGGGGCGAAAGGGAGAGAGATATCAATGGGGGGCTCCTTCCCTGCCCGCCTCTCTCTCTAGTCAGCTGCAGCATTTAGCATCTGTTTGTTGTGAAACCGGAGCCTCGTGGCCATGTGACCTTCATCATCACGAATGGAGGTTTTTTTTTTTATTTGGTATCCAAGTAACAGCTCAGAGCAGAGGGAGGGCAGTTGCTAGCAACCTCTTACGCAGAGAGGCAGATTTCTCTGCTCCTTAAAAAAAAGAATTATCCTCATTGATTTATTTTCACAAGGAATGTGGCCGGTTTGAACGGGCTTTCGGAACCGATCAAAGCCGATTAGCTATATATAGCAAGCGAGACCCAAGTTTCACCTTTTTTTCCCTCTGTTTCCCTTCCCTCCCCTTTCCCTTCTCTCCCTTTGTCCTTTGTGTCTATTTTTGGTGCGGTACCGCAGACGCCACGTGCTCTGGGAAAGCGAGCTTTATGTTAGTAAACAGTCAGCTGATGGAGATCTGCGCTATCCGCTGTGAGGGAATAGAACCACCTCGGGGGCCAGATTAAAATGTGACCTAATACTAGGCATGATATAAGCTCTAGAATTTTCCAGCCTACGTGTGGCGTGCGTGGTGTGGATTTTAAAACAAAAACGGGGCTCGTTTTTAAAAATATACGCACATGCGCCCAGGTTGTTGCATGATCTCGACGGAAAGTTCAGCCAACGTAAAACAAATCTCGCCATCTTTTATCACAGGGACACGAGTATACAGCCCTCCGGAATGGATCCGGTACCACCGGTACCATGGGAGATCCGCCACTGTGTGGTCTTTGGGCGTCCTCCTATACGATATGGTCTGCGGCGACATCCCCTTCGAGCAAGACGAAGAAATCTTGAGGGGAAGGCTATACTTCAGGAGAAGAATTTCGCCTGGTAAGTGAGGTGTCGGAGTAACGCCCCCCCCCCCCCGGGCAGTCGAAATCACAAAATTATCTCCCAATACGTTTTTAATTTTACAGGCAAACCGTTTTAACTAGCCAATTTTATCACTAGCCAAAACAGACGTTAACCATTGATCACGTTGTCAACCGAGATTAAATCAATATTGTTTTGATCTGTTATCATGGGGCCCCTAAAAGGCATGGGGGGGCCCCTCTCCCATAGGCCATTGCGAATTCTTGGCCTTTTTGTAATCTGAAAACAACCGCATGGGACCTTAACCCCTTTCTCCTCCTCATTCGCCTTCCTTTTTTGCATTTCAGAATGTCAACAGCTGATCAAATGGTGCCTTTCGCTGAGGCCTTCGGACCGGCCGACCCTCGACCAGATCTTTGACCACCCCTGGATGCACAAGTCGGACGTCGCCAAGTCAGAGGATTGCGACATCCGGCTACGGACCATTGACACGGATGTTTCCAGCACAAGTTCGAGCAACGAGAGCCTGTGAAATTGCTGAGGACCTTGCAGCGGGAGGGGCGGAGCCACGAGAGGGGCGGGGCGGGAGGGGAGGAGACCAGAGTGCTGCTACTGCTGCTGCCATATGTAGGAGGGGCTAGGGGGGGGGAAATTGCATTCATTATCCTGTAGTCTGAATCTTTGTCGGAGGGACTTGATTTTTTTATTCCCCCCCCCCCTTTTTGCCGGTTTCTGCTTTGGAACGAGAAATTTCCTTTGGAAACGCTGTTGTTTGGGAGTTTGTGGGGCCAGTACTTAGTCAAAGACTGCCCCCTTTTAATTTTTTTTCCTTAAGGCAAAAGCAGTGACCTCTTTAAAATAACACGGTGAAAACCTTTTTGCTCTCATAGAGCCTGGACTATATTTTATTTGCTTTTTTGAGTGCCTTTTTGAAAGCTGCTTCAGTGGGACTTTCTTTTTTGAGCTGTGTATGTCCAAAGAGGACCCCGCGCATGATAGGATCCTGTTCCCTCGAGCCCCGCTGCAAAAGGTGCTTGCGGAGAGCAACTTCTATGATGCCCTGGGAAAACATGTTCAGTGATTGAATGAAGTAGTCCCGTCCTCTGGCGATGGAATACTTGAACACAGACATTTCACTCCTTCCCGGTCCCCTGTCCCCCGCGCCCCACGCTTTTCCCCATTCCCCCGACTCCCCCCTCCAAGACGACCTCTGCTGCTCCCCACTCTGTTTCCAATAGGCTGCACATGTTCTCAGCTGTTTTATCAGGAACACTCACTCAAAACTTCATTTCATCATCTCTTCCACTGGGCACAAACACACACAAAAAGGCCCCTTCTCAACTCCCCCCAACCTGCAAGTCTTAAAAAAAAAAAAAAATGTATGTATGGGCATGTTAAATGCACAATCAATGCAATATTCAAGGACTTTGTGTGTGTGTTTTTTTTCCATACCTGTATAATGTGTTTCTGTAAATTTTTGTTCCTCCTCCCTCCTCCCCATGTATTATACAGTTTTATTTATTGTCTGGAGTTTAGAAGACCTCTCACAGTCTCAATCTGTGACTATATTTATTTTAGCTAATTTATTTGTGTAGAATTATTCCAACACTGTGCTTTTTATCTCTCTTGCTCCTGTGACAGGAGTGGTTGGTCCACAACTAGTTTTTTGCATTCCTCTCTTGTCTCTTTCTCCATTTTTTGTGTGTTTTTTTGTTTCAAGAAGAAGAAGAAGAAGAATTAAAAAGTCTGACCATACCTGTTTTTTGGGTTTTTTGTTTTTTTTCATTTCGGGTTGGAAGATGGAAAATTGTACAAAGTCTAATTTAAGGGAACTAGAGTGACTTTAAAAGTTAGTCAGTATGCCTTTTTGTCTGGTATTATTTACATACCAGAACTGTAAAGTAATGCTGTTTGGAAGGGTTTTAAATTATTGACATTATACAGTCTTTGTGCATTGGCTCTGGAAGGAAGCGTGGCAGAGTCATAAACCTTAATTTATTTTAATAGCCGTGTGTTCTGTGATCTGGTTGCATTTATGCAGCTTGGATATGAATTTTCTCTCTCTCTCTTCTGTTTAACAGTGTGAAATGTATGGAGATCATATTTTTTTATACAGGTATTTCAATTAAACTTTTTTGTAGATAACCCGTGTGGCTTCTTCCTTTTGAACTCAGCTGGCCAGATACCAGTGGTTCTCGGTACAATACTTGTAAAGAGACTGCAAGGGAACCTTTGCCCCTCCATCTCCTAGAATAATAGAATAGCAGAATTAGAAGGGACCACGAGGGTTATCTAGGAATCTTGCCCAACTCAGGGCTTGAACTCACAACTGAGTCTCATGCTCTACCAACTGAGCTAGCTGCGGTCCCTGCTGAACTACAACTCCCATCAGCCTTAGCAAGCAGGGCCAAGAGCCTGGGGTGTTGGGAGCTGTAGTTCAACAACATCTGGAGGGCCAGAAAAGTTTGCCATATCTCCTAGAGGGTGATGGGAACTGGGCTACAGGCCACCTCACAATGGCCGCAAGCAAATAGGTTGGCCTGATGTTACTGTTTCACTATGGCTGCCGCCAGCACTGCAGGCCAGATTATCCTCGCATGATTTCGAGCAATGGCATGAGATCCTCGTTTACCTGTGCCTTCACAAGTGTGATGTCACCTGAGGTCAACACACACTCCCTGGGCTGCGCATAAATACTTCTCCAACGCAACAGGTTGCCATAGTTCTCCCTAGTGGGAAACTTGCTAGCCCATGGTCCTAACCATGGCCACTTAGTTAAATCCCATAAGTTGTTCCCACTCTTGATCCTACAGAGAATCTAGCTTTACAGAGTCAAGACAGCTGGTGGTATTTGCCCCACCTCGCTCCCACAAAGGAGAAGCAGGGGTCTTAAAAACTTCCCACACAAACAGCGAGAGGATGGGTCTGTTAGGACTTTTTGCAAACGTAGATGCTTTGGGGGGGTGCGCTCAAAAATGCACAGAGGAAGAGTTCCTGGACACTGGCGGTCTGTGGCGATCACACAGGGTCCCCGGACGTTTGACGGTCTATTGATCCCTGTGCCACCACTGTGATTGCTTCCCCACTGCCACCAACCCGTTTCTCTCAGGTACACACGGAGTCCAGACAGTTGTTAACATTAAACCAAATAAACAAGTTTATTTTATAAGCATTAACAAATTTATGGTTTCAGATAATTTTTCTTGTCAGTTTCTTAATCTAGTTTCTTTACCGGCCTTCTTCTTGTTGTTTAGTCGTGTCCGACTCTTTGTGAGCCCATGGACCAGAGCACGCCAGGCACACCTGTCTTCCACTGCCTCCCGCAGTTTGGTCAAACTCATGCTGGTAGCTTCGAGAACACTGTCCAACCATCTTGTCCTCTGTTGTCCCCTTCTCCTTCTGCCCTCCATCTTTCCCAACATCAGGGTCTTTTCCAGGGAGTCTTCTCTTCTCATGAGGTGGCCAAAGTATTGGAGCCTCAGCTTCACGATCTGTTCTTCCAGTGAGCACTCAGGGCTGATTTCCTTAAGAATGGATAGGTTTGATCTTCTTGCACTCCATGGGACTCTCAAGGGTCTCCTCCAGCACCATAATTCAAAAGCATCAATTCTTCGGCGATCAGCCTTCTTTATGGTCCAGCTGTCACTTCCATACATCACTACTGGGAAAACCATAGCTTTTACTATATGGACCTTTACCGGCCTATACCTTCCTAATAACTTCTAACTGATTATCCCAACTGTCTATCTGACTCCTCTTAACAGATTCTCTCACTCTCTCACATCAAACTATCCCAACCCACAGACTTATCCTCCCTCTCTCTTCTCTAACACCCGACTGACTTCACAACTCTTAACTCGTAACTCCAACTCCTCCCCTTGGGTTCCCACTTGCCAATCGCTTCACACTCATTTAACCCTTTCCTTATGACCCAGCATGATGTCACCTAGGAGGGCAAACACCACATGGCCCCTCAAGGGTTGGTAGGTGCCTTTCGCTGAGGCCTTCGGACCGGCCGACCCTCAAACCTCTAGGGTACCAGCCGCGAAGAGACCTCTCTGGGCAGTGTGTCTGGAGGTTTCAAGTCACCCAGTAATTTCAGTCAATGTGTTGAAATTTGTCAATTTCAGAGGGGTTATTCCAGTTAGTTGCCTACAAACGTTTATAAATGCTTTCCCTTTTTCAAACAACCACCTTGCATGACAGGGAGAAGTTTCCTTAAAACCCTTCCTTGTCATGCAAGCTTTCTATATGCAAGTTTGTTTATCTATCTGGGTGGAGAGAGAGACAGAAGACAGGTAGCATGTGCTTTTCCTGTACATTTGCAGTGCTCCTGAAGAGATGCTCATATTGGTGGTGGCGCTGTGGGTTAAACCACAGAGCCTAGGACTTGCTGATCAGAAGGTCAGCGGTTCGAATCCCCGCGACGGGGTGAGCTCCCGTTGCTCGGTCCCTGCTCCTGCCAACCTAGCAGTTCGAAAGCATGTCAAAGTGCAAGTAGATAAATAGGTACCACTCCAGCGGGAAGGTAAACGGCGTTTCTGTGTGCTGCTTTGGTTCGCCAGAAGCGGCTTAGTCATGCTGGCCACATGACCCGGAAGCTGTACGCCAGCTCCCTCGGCCAATAAAGCGAGATGAGCGCCGCAACCCCGGAGTCGGTCACGACTGGACCTAATGGTCAGGGGTCCCTTTACCTTTACCTTAAGCACTTAAAAGTCTTGGAAACTCTTCAATGCTCTCATATAATAGCCCTCAATTGGAATTATTAGTGCTAATCCAGCAGAACTGTTGATACCTTTATGAGGCTTTGAATCACTGGAGTTCTTTCTTTTATTTCTTACAAAAGTAAATGGCCCGACAAGTTTTGTACTGCTGGTTTACAAGGGAAGGAGGGCTTTATTTTGACAGAGCAAATCCTGTCTCGATTGCCTTAGCAGCCCTGCCCCAATTCAAATCCTGAAATAATCCCTTGTCCCGTTTGCTCTTGGAAGGGAAAGTTGTCATCTTCCAGCTCAATTTACGGAGCAAGACTCGAAACACATTGGATGCCAACCATTTTAACCCTTCAAAAATAGCTGAATATCAGGAACTAACTTAAATGGGCATCTACTCTCTCTTTTTTAGTTTTCTGTATGCAGTTTTCCCCGGTCAGCTAAAGGTATGAGAATGAAGATGTCAAAAACACATGAAAGCTCGTTCCAATAACAAACTTAGTTGGTCTCTAAGGTGCTACTGGAAGGAATTTTTTTATTTTGCTTTGACTACGGCAGACCAACACGGCTACCTACCTGTAACAAAGACTACTCCTGTAATGTAGCTGGTAAGGAAAGGTGTGGTAGATGAGGGAGATAAGCAGAAATCCCCTCCAAGCGGTTTCACTGTGGAGGTTGATCTCCCCTCCTGGTTGTGCTCAGTGGAAAGCCAACGTCATTATATATGTGCATCAAGCTTTTCTAGGTCAGTGTTAAATTACATGGCGGCTAAGTTGGCACACACAAATCTACCTCGAAGCGCATACTGTAACAGCCGCATCTCTCCCACTTTCAAACCTTGAGCTTCCCTTCTCAACACAGTCTTCTCCAATTCCCAAATCTGTTAAGTGGGAAAGGACAGGGACGTCTTGTGAGTGCATCACCAGTTGCCCACGGAAAAGAGGGACGCAGGTGGCGCTGTGGTCTAAACCACTGAGGCACTTGGGCTAGCCGATCAGAAGGTCGGTGGTTTGAATCCCCACGACGGGGTGACCTCCCGTTGCTCTGTCCCAGCTCCTGCCAACCTAGCAGTTCGAAAGCACACCAGCGCAAGTAGGTAAATAGGTACCGCTCCAGCGGGAAGGTAAACAGTGTTTCCATGCACTCTGACTTCTGTCACGGTGTCCTGTTGTCCCAGAAGTGGTTTAGTCATGCTGGCCACATGACCCGGAAAGCTGTCTGTGGACAAACGCCGGCTCCCTTGGCCTGAAAGCGAGATGAGCGCTGCATCCCATAGCCGCCTTTGACTGGACTTAACCATCCAGGGGTCCTTTAACTTTTTATTTATTTTTTTGCCCATGGAGACTGAGAACCAGGTGATCGAGCAGTGAAGATTGCTTCCCCGGTCTTTAAATCTGGCTGAAACACGGGACAGCATCTTGCACTTCACCAGAGAGGGGGAACCTTGATAAGGGGGCACAATGCAAGCTGTGTGGCATACACAGTTGTGTCCTCCTTCAAAAGGGAACCCCCCTGGATCTCAGAAGGAAAGACAAGCGGGGTGCCTTCCACACCCCAGCATTTTGTGTTGGCACTGACCTTTAACGGCCTCAACGGCCTTGGCCCAATATACCTGAAGGAGCATCTCCATCCCCATTGTTCAGCCCGGACACTGAGATCCAGCACTGAGGGCCTTCTGGCAGTTCCTTCAATGCAAGAAGTGAGGTTACAGGGAACCAGGCTGAGGGCCTTCTTGGTAGTGGCACCTGCCCTGTGGAACGCCCTCCCATCAGATGTCAAGGAAATAAACAACTATCTGACTGTTAGAAGGCATCTGAAGGCAGCCCTGTTTAGGGAACTTTTTAATATTTGGTGTTTTATCATGTTTTTAATATTCTGTTGGGAGCCGCCCAGAGTGGCTGGGGAAACCCAGCCAGATGGGCGGGGTATGAATAACAAATTATGATGATGATGATGATGATGATGATGATGATGACTATTGTGCCAGTTCAGGAAGCTTTGTGCCTGATGGGATTTAGCAGGTGAAATCTCTTACTGGCCAATCCTATTCCAGTCTCTCTCTCTTTTCCCCCACATTTGTTCGGTTTTTGCTGAGCAACCTGCTCCGGCACCTTCCACAGCATCCTGACACTTAGCAATTTAGCAGCTAAGGCTTATATCATTTGAGCATCACCTGCTAAACTGCTTTAAAAGGCACCAGAGCCGGTTCAGGGAAAGGAACAGCAACCCGAATGGAAAAGCTCTGCCATCCAACCAATTTTGCTAGGACCTCACAGCCCCCTGTGCTGTTCCTATTGAAATGTGGGTTTTACATTGGAATCACTCCCACCTATGTCGGTCTTACCGGATTTTGCTTTGGCTTTTCACACTTGTCTAATCTGCCCAAGCACTGTTGGCTTCGACAGTTGCCACCAGTCAGTTTAACAGCTTCAATATAGTCAATTTCAGTCTTTAGGATCAGAGAATTGCAGAATTGGAACACACCCTGATGATCAACTCCCCGCAACGCAGCTGTCTCATACAGGATTCGAACCTGCAACCTTGGCGTTGTCCGCACCACTCTCTAACCGACTGAGCTATTCACTGGGACAAACTTTTGCTTCCACTACGAAAAGCTGTCAAGCACAGGGTTTTGTCGTCCCCGTCTCCCCTTGCAACAAATACATCTCCATTCTTCTTCTTCCTAGAGCGTTTAAATAATAATAATGTTTACTTCGACAAAATAATGCCGTAACGAAGCAACTAAACTGCCTTCCACATGGTAGTTTAGCGCCCTCTGTTGGTCCAACAGAAGCACATTGTCTTCGAGAGCCATGGTTGTTTTGCAGACACCTGTAGACAGGTGTCTTTAAGAATGGAAAAAGCAGCGCAGGTCGGCTTCTGAAATGTTCCACCAGGTAGGAAAGGATTCCATTATAAATAAATGATAGACAACAATGCTGCAATTTTCTTTTTTAACTTCTCCCAGGGCACGGCGGAAACTGAGTAGACGACATCTATTTACCTGTGACGCTTCTGTCCTGAGTTCAAAAACAAAGAGCCTGGCTGCCTTTCCACAATCAGTACATCATGTTTGCAAAAAGGAATTTGACGAATGAGTTAGCTTCGTAGCAGACGTTCCGGTTACGGTAATGTGTGCGGTCACCCACAGACATTCGTCACCCTGGAATATTTGACCTAGAAACCTTGTGGTGAGCACATGTTTCAGTGCGTCTGAATTCAACAGGAGTTCAGAGTTGCCTCCCTGCTTATGTCTTCGGCTTAAGTTGAATGAGATATGCTTCACTTGAGCTGCACGGTGCTCAGTATTATTCTGATCAGCTGGGTAACAATACCATCACAACCAGTAATGGAAATATTTCCGGGTTCCTGGAAGCAGCTCGGGATTTCCCTCACCCTTCTTTCGAAAACAAAAGCAAATGTGTTTTATTTGAGTTATATTTATTATCCAGCCTTAGGAGCAGGGAGAAGGTAATGTTCCTGTATTTTAATGGTGTAGAAGAGGGGATTTTGGATGCAACTGAGAAAAATTCTACCGTACAGTGGTACCTTGGTTCTCAAACTTAATCCATTCCGGAAGTCCGTTCCAAATCAAAGGCGTTCCAAAACCAAGGAACCAAGTTTTCCCATAGAATGTAATGCAAAACGGATTAATCCATTCCAGACTTTTAAAAACAACCCCTAAAACAGAGGCCATTGATCCATAAAATGAAAGCAGTAATCAATATACTGTACTATAAAATAAAGAAGACAGTATCGTAGATGATAAAAATTAAAATTATTATTTTTTCCTTATCTGCACTGATGGTAGTCATTGTTTGGATGGGGGGCTTTTATCCATTTCTGCAGTCACACAATCAATCAATCAATCAATCAATCAGTAGCTGAACTGGGTTCCACACAGTCACAAAAACAAATTAACTGAAAAAGCTTCAAAAACAAAAACACAAAATAAATAGCAAAAAACCCCCGCCAAACTTAATCTGTTCTGGAAATCCGTTTGACTTCTGAAATGCTCAAAAACCAAGGTGCAGCTTCTGATTGGACATTCAGCTTCTGAAAAACATTTGAAAACCAGAACACTTACTTCCGGGTTTGGGGCATTTGAGAACCAAGGCGTTTGAGAACCAAGGTACCACTGTACTCCTTTGCATTTGGATTAGGGCTGGCCACTTTTTAGTGGTACTGAAAGTGATAAGTTTGCTGGCATATAGATAAAATCAGTGGCAAAGCTTCAGTGACTAACAACACCGTCCTGGGCCTGTCAACTTAGAAGAATGTCCCGCTGAGTTCAGTAGAGATTGCTTTCAGGTGGGATGGCCAAATCCGTCAATTTTTCATTTTTCCAGTGAGTTCTCCATATTTCCATGTCAGTTTTCCATTTTTATTTTTCTTGGGGGAAAATCCTGTTGGAAATGTGTCAACATTTTAGTGTGCATTTCTCCCAATCTACACATTTTCGATGCAATTATCAAAATGCACATTCTCGTAAAGCAACTCCCCCGAAGATGCAGTTTTGTGCTTTCCTTTCACTAATATGTGCATTTCTATGCACACTTTATCCTCGTATGTGCGTTTTTGCACCCATTGCTTGGCCGGAGACCAGCACGGCCAAATTCAGAGAAGTACAAATTTCATGTTGTATCGGGAAGTGCAAATGGCAAGCTCGAATTTCAGTGCAAACTGAAACAAATTTATTCCCCATCTCTGCTTTCTTTTTCTTTCTTTCTTTTTTTTTTTTGGATGAAAAAATTCTTTACTGAAATTCATAAATATCATTACAGATTTAACTTCACACATACACATACATACAATATATATATGTATTCTTAAATTAGTTTAACTTAGAATGTTAATTTGACCTTCTAATTCCACTTAGATATCAGCTTGTTTGGTGTTACCTCTTAACCTATTTGTTAGTTGAGCCATTTCCACATAGTCTAATAATTTATTTTGCCATTCTGTTAGCGTTGGTATCTTTCCCCCTTTCCAATTAGATGCTATTGATAGACGGGCAGCCGCTGTTGCATATAAAAATATTTCTCTTATATTTTTCGGAATGTCTCTACCTAAGATTCCTAACAGAAAGGGTTCTGGTTTCTTGTTAATTTGAACTTTTTTTTTCATCTTATCGTAAACAATATTCCAAATATTCCAAAAATCTCTGCTTTCAGGGGATGGCATGGAGCAGCTGACACCATCCAGATACCCCCCAGTGGTTTTGGATAACAACTTTTATCAGCCCCAGCCAGTTGTTTTGGAACTACAGCTCCTAAGGTTCTTGGTCCTCTCTAGCTGTCTCGGACTACAACTCCCATCAACCCCAGTCAGCAGAGCTGGGTTGGCTGATGAAAGTTGTAGTCCAAACCAGTGAACTCGAACCTCAGATAGCTCAGTGTGAGACCCTTAATCTCGTGGGTTCAAGCGCCACATTGGGCAAAAGATTCCTGCAAAGCAGGCGATAGGAACAGATGATCCTTGTGGTCTCTTCCAACCCTATAATTCTATGATTTTATTATTCAAGTTTGTGAAAGTTATCGTACAGGATGATTGCATTAATATCTGCACAGGTTGCAGAGAAGTTTGAGAAGGCCACAGAGAGCAGCTTTGTGGACTGTGCCCAGCAATAGTGCCATAAAATGACTGCTTAGTTTCAAAATTTCCCACCGTCTCCAAAGCTTCGAGGCTACATAATCCCAGATCAATGCTGGCAATTGATAGCGGATTCCTAAATTCCTGTCAAACTAGACACATCATCCATAAATCCTTATTCAGCACTTGTCTGCATTAAAATTACCCCGATCAAATAAAATTAATTGATTTTCCAATGGATCTAGTTAAATCAGGGCAAACTGATGGCACCTCTTAATTTAACCAAGTCTCAGATCAATGAGCTCTCCCCCCCCTTTTTTTTTTGCTCCTGTGCCTTTTTTGCATGCCAATTATAGAACAAGTTAAAGGCACACTTGAGGGGCTGTCTCTATCAGGAGAGGGGAGAAAGTTTGCATGTTACGAATGCCAAGTCCAAATGAAAGGCAAGCTTGCTGATAGGGAGCTTTTTTATTTGAAACTCTTCTGTGATAAAGATCAAGGTGCTGGCAGCAGTTTGTGAGACAGAGGACATTCCCAGCCCTTCTTTCAGATGCCAGGAAATGAACCTGGGACATTCTGCATTTTTTTCAAAGTTGTTGGAATAATAATAATAATAATAATAATAATAATAATAATAATTTATTGTTTATACCCTACCCATCTGACTGGGCTTCCCCAGCCACTCCGGGCGGCTTACAGCACATAAAAAATTCTAAAAACATTAGATGTTAAAAAATTCCCAATACAGGACTGCCTTCAGATGTCTTCTAAAAGTCTGGTAGTTGTTGATTTCCTTGACATCTGATGGGAGGGCATTCCACAGGGTAGGCACCACTACTACCAAGAAGGCTCTCTGCCTGGTTCCCTGTAACCTCACTTCCTGCAGTGAGGGAACCGCCAGAAGGCCGTCGGCACTGGACCTCAGTGTCCGGGCTGAATGATGTGGGTGGAGACACTCCTTCAAGTATACTGGGCCGTGGCCGTTTAGGGCTTTAAAGGTCAGCACCAACACTTTGAATTGTGCTCGGAAACGTACTGGGAGCCAATGTAGGTCTTTCAGGACTGGTGTTATATGATCTCGGCAGCCACTCCCAGTCACCAGTCTAGCTGCCGCATTCTGGATTACTTGTACTTTCCAGGTCACCTTCAAAGGTGGCCCCACATAGAGCGCATTGCAGTAGTCCAAGCAAGAGATAACCAGAGCATGCACCACTCTGGCAAGACAGTCTGCGGGCAGGTAGGTTCTCAGCCTGCATACCAGATGGAGCTGGTGGACAGCTGCCCTGGCATCCATCTGTCTCGGGAGTTAACTGAATGCACCTCCGGAGGCGAAGCCAAACCACTGGAGAATCACAGAGCCTGCTGTGGCTGTAGAAACCAGTAACTCCCTTGGGCACAAGCTTAGGCAGCATGTATGGAAGTCCTGGACTGCCCAGACGACAAGGCTCACTGATGTGGCCCAAAGGAAAGAAGAGCAATACACTTGGCACTAACTTGACTGTAGGAGTTGTAGGAAGTTAGCTTGCCTGCCTGATGCTCCCACCACCAAGCTTCCTGTCCTTCTCCATCTCAGCAACCAGCATTAGGAAGCCAGGTGAGCAATGGCTGCTACGAACTATGTAGCACTGTAGAAAGTAAATGGGAGCAGGCCTTATAGATCTGTCCTCTGCCAACCAGGTTGCAAGTAGACCTGAAGCACAATCATTGCTATTAGCCTCTCTTTGAAAGTCTTGTATTTTCTGAACACGGACATAAGCATCCCCCAAGGAGCTTCCAATGTCCTCCTTCCAAGTCTAGCAATACCAATCCAACAGAAGCTTAGAAAGCGCCCCTACTTTCATATAATTGCACTCCTCAGTTGTTGTTGTTTTTTCAAAAAATAACACTTCCAGTCATATCCACAAATTTCACAACTTTGTCCCTGAATGTTCTTCATTTTCTCACACTCAAATCTTTGGAGAGGGTGGGGGACGGGGGGAGAAATCAGAGCGATAAAAC